TCTGTTTTCTGACATTTCATATCAGAGAGACCAACAGATAACTCAGTAGCAGGCTAGGCCATCACAACTCATGAGATCCTAGAGCAGGCCCTTTGGCATTATTTGAAGTTTGTCATTATGAACGGATTGCATTAACAAAAGTTGGCACCATTGCAAAAAAAAAAAATGAGCAACATCTATCCTTTGTCTATAAAGCGTAATCTGTGCCCAAAATTTTCACATGTTCCAGCAACAAAAAGATAGACGATCTTTGCTGGATCCCCTTTAAAAATGCACTGTACATATATTCCAGCAATCAGGTTTCTTAGTATTTACCCAGAGGAGTTTAAAAACTTACGTCCACATAAAAACCTGGAAATAATGTTTGTAGGAGTTTTATTCATAATTGCCAACATTTCGAAGTAACCAAGATATGTTTCAGTAGATGAGCAGATAAATAAACCGAGATACATCCAGACAATGGAATATTGGGTTGCCGGAAAAGTCCTGATGCACTTTTGCAACGAAAAACAGAGAAAAAAGTACATCATTACTTTTCCGGCAACCCCGTGTTATTCAGTATTTAAAAAAAAAAAAGCTGTCAAACCACAAACATACATGGCAGAGCCTTAAATGCATATTACTAAGTGAAAGAAGCCAATCTGAAAAGGCACATGCTGTATGATTTCAACTATATGACATTCTGGAAGAGATAAAATTGTGGAAAAAGTAAAAACACATCAGGGATTGGGGCGGGGGGAAGGAATGAATAGGTGAAGTACAGGATTTTCAGGGCAGCGAAAATATTCTGTATGATACCATAATGATGGATACATGTCATATATTTGTCAAAACCAAGAGTGAACCCTAATGTAAACTATGGACTTGGGAGATTATGATGATCAGTGTATGTTCTTCAATTGTAACAAATGTCCCACTCTGGTGGGGGATGTTGATAATGGGCAGGGAGTATATGGGAAAAAAAATTTTTTTTATTAAAGATTTTATTGGGGGATTGGGGTAGGGGAACAGTGTTGGGGAATTGGGGGAGGGAACAGTGTTGGGGAATTGGGGAAGGGGAACAGCCAAGTTGTTGTCCTTCAGTCTTAGTTGTGGAGGGCGCAGCAAGCTCAGCTCTAAGTCCAGTCGCGCCACTCAGCTCAAGGTGCTCTGTTCAGTTAGTTGCGGGTGGGCGTAGCCACCATCCCACGGCGCACGAGTCAAACCAGCAGTCTTGTTGTTAAGAGTGTGCACTCTATCCTCTGAGTCATCTGGGCGGCAGCTCAGGTCAGGGTACCAAGTTCAGTCTTTAGTTGTGGTGGACATAGCCCACCATCTCAAACGGGCAACCTTGTTGTTAGGAGCACGTGCTCTTACCAGCTGAGCCATCCTGCCAACTGTTGGCAGCTCAGCAGAAGCTCAGCTCAGATGCAGCTCACTGGCCCATATGGGAATCGAACTGGCGACCCTGTAGCTCAGAGCTCGCACTCTTGACCGAGCTCTTAACCAACTGAGCCACTCAGCTGGCCCTCTATATGGGAAATTTACTTTCTCTGCTTTCTGCCCAGTTTTGCTGTGAGCCTAAAATTGCTCTTAAAAATATAGTCTATTAAAATTTTTTTAAATGAATTATACATGACATACTATAACTCCCCTTCAAGTCTGTTATCGTTATGAGTAAAACCCATGTAGATATAATCAATGAAGTCTCACAGCCTTCTGTCTTCTGGCTGCATCTTTCTTGGGGCACCATCCGCTCTTATGCCTCTTTCAAAGCCGGCTTTATTGTTAAAAGATTAGACCCTCACGTAAATATGTCATCATCAGACTGGTGAATATTGATGGTATTTATAGAATTTTTAGCACGTTTTTGAGTGCTGTCAGGTATTTCTGAAACCTATACCTTGCTTGTGTACTATGCTAAACTCTGTTTCACTCATTGAGGAAGGATGGGAGATAGCTAGACTAAAAATACTTAGTGTGTCTCCCAAGCTGGAGCATTGCAATCTTTCTCTCCAGTGATTGGGGAATCCGTTCACCAGGAAAGTAATAAAAGTAATCTCAAGATATGGGTGTTTCAGTTTTAACACTGACTTCCTAGAAAAATTCATGGAATGCAAAATTTATACTAACATGAACAGATCTTATGAAAATAGGACTGGGGCCAAACTATAAAACTTTGTAACCAGAGCAATTACAAAATAAAAATGATTTACCGTATACCCGGGATTTGTTTTAATAAAGTGTGATAAGACATGCCTAACCACTATGCTGTGCATCTGAAAGTAATATAAAATAATATTGAGTGTCAACTGTAACTGAAAAAAATAATTTAAAAAAAAATCAAAACTTTAAAAAAAATGTAAATATAAATAAATATTGTGTAAAACAAACAAGAAAAACCATCCAGACACAGAAATGGCTGTCATGATGTAGGAAGTTTTTATACACACAGATCCCTAGAAAGAGAAAGCAGTGGGGACACAGAGGGAAGCAGTAGGGTTAGGCAGGAGGCAGAGGGAAAGGAAGGGGAATTATGGAAAAGCCCATTTTCTAGGGGAAGAATGGGTGAGACAGGGTAAGCAGGTTTAGGATTGGCGTTTTGAATAATTTCAGCAGTCTCTAGGGCATGAGTGCTGTTCATAGTTGCCTGGTACCTGGCCCTGGGGTGATTAGGGCAGGGGAATATTGGTGGGGTCTAAGAGCCTGGTTGGGGGAGGGTGCGGGCGGGGTGGGCCCTGAATTGGTTAGTTCTCATATGGTCAGTTTGCTCCTGGGTTGAGCTGTTTGCTATTTCTAGGAATTAGCTAACCCTGAGAACATCAGTTTCTCCCTGATTCATGAGAACCCAGATGCAAGAACATCAGGAATACAGAAAATATGAAAATATAGTTAATACAAACAATCCTAATAAAAGTATTAACACTGCTAAGATGTTGAATTCCAATAAACACTTCAGTAAGTACAAGACTACATCCCCGCAAAAGTGACATGACTTGATGGAAAGGCACAGGGTAAAGAAGCACTGTGTTATAAGAGCCAGATACCCTGAGGTCAAAGAGAGCAACACAGAGATCGCTCAGGATGGGCATGGACGCTCTGAGCAGAGAGCAGCTCTAGAGCTGACCCTGCAAATCCAGGGGTTTCGCACCCACAGATTCAACCAACCCGAGACTGAAAAGATTAAAAAAAAAAATCTGAGGAGGTTTCAAAAAGCAAAATTTGAATTGCCATGCACAAAGCACTATGTTCAATCCACATGAATGAAGTGATATCTAGGCATACAAGGTCGGACAATTAAGCTTGTAAACTCGTCCTAGAAAAAGTGCTTCATACCTCATTGCTGAATATCACTCTGGTCACCTTCGAAGTACTCCCCTTGGGACGCTATGCACCGACGCCAGTGCCTAGTCCACCCTTCAAAGAAATTTTGGAACTCTTTTTCTGGAATGGCCTTCAGAGCTGTCATATTACCCTTGATGTCCTTAAGGTCATCAGAATGTCTTCCTCTCAACATTTCCTTTATCTTCGGGTAAAGAAAAAAAATCTTTGGGGGCCAGATCAGGTGAGTAGGGAGGGTATTCCAACGCAGTTATTTGTTTACTAGCTAAAAACTCCCTCACAGACAGTGCCACATGAGCTGGTGTGCTGTTGTGATGCAAGAGCCATGAATTGTTGGCTTTTCGTCTTTTTCACACAACCTTTTCAGCACTTCCAAATAGTAAACTTGTTAACTATCCAGCTGGTACAAATTCATAATGAATAATCCCGCTGATAAAAAAGGTTAGCAATATTGTTGCAACAAGTTTACGAACTTAATTGTCAAATCAGGTATGCTGCTGTAGCCTCTAATGTAAATATAGGTTATATGCAAATACTGTGCCATTTTATATAAGGGACTTGAGCATCCATGAATTTTGGTATCCATAGGGGATGTTTAAACCAGTCCCCGCAGATACTGAAGGACCACTATATGTGGTAAATGAGCTATAGTCCTCATGGCTTGCTGTATTCCGCTTCATCAGTGTGCTTTGAAACTCCTGATGCCAACTTCCAGGTTTTACTAACAACATTTTTCTATTTACTAATCTGTGTTGAGGTGATTTACCTTACAGAAATAGGCCTAAGCCTACATAACATAGTGATGAGAAGCGCTATAGGATTTTTGCTTCAGCACCCATGACCTTCAATATTGTAAAGGTCTCCATAACTGGCAATAATATTGCTCTGTATTGTAATGCTTTAATGTCATGTCTCTGTTCTTGTTCCCAGGTCAAGAATACATTCCAAGAAAGTTCTAAAAATACATCACCAGCTCCAACCTGATAGTTGACCTAGCCATGGAGAACCTCATTGGAGTCTCACTAAATCAGCATAACTGGCACACTTAAAACTCTTCCCATCAAACAGTATCAGGAATGAAAATCTGAGATATATATTTACCACTTCAAGAATATTCCTGCCAGCCAACCGTCTAACAGATCAGTTTCTTTGGTCATCAAGCAGACATACTCAAGCTACTAATACAGCAGTGGAAAATGCATCTATATAAATATTTTGCACATTATATGTGTGACCCATTAGTAGGTCATGAGATCAATTTTGTGAGTCACAATGAACATTTTTTACGACAAAATATACAATGTCAGAGTGCTTTGCATAAATCCTTTGCCAGAGTTGTGCATATTGCAAGGAATACTAAGGTCAGTTACAATTTGTGAAAAGATATTTGATTCAGGGAATATGATGAATAGAATGTATATTGGCTAAGAAATGGTTTTTCAGTCATTTGTCCACTGGTGTATTGTTTCATTTTCATAATAAGGTTGGTGTGCAGCCTAGTTTCCTATTACTATGAGTTGTAACTAGATGTGAAGTCTGAGATGTTAAGCAGATTCAGTTGCAAACTGCATTTTTTTTGGTAAGATGTTATCCAGGCCATAATATATATATATATATATATATATATATATATAATAATATTGAGTTGATAATTATATATATATATATATATATATTTGAGTTGGTGGTAATTATAACATTTTCATCAAAATTGCTTTTAAAATGGATCATTTCTTCTTTAAAAGAAAGAGGAATAATGAAGTGAAATATGCAGAAGCATCTTCAAGTTCAACTGCTGGATCTGGAAGTGTGAATAGCAACAATATTGAAAAAAATATTGACTCTAATCTGCAAACTTCACCTTCATTTAAGCCACATTTCAAAAAGAAAAAAGTAAGTTCAAGACGATATAATGAAGATTATTTAAAATATGGTTTTATCAAATGTGAAAAACCCTTTGAAAATGACAGACCTCAGTGTGTTATTTGTAACAGTATTCTTGCAAATGAAAGCTTAAAACCTTCAAAATTAAAAAGGCACTTAGAAACTCAGCATGCTGACCTTATTGATAAACCTCTTGAATATTTTCAAAAAAAGAAAAAAGATATAAAGTTGTCAGCACAATTTCTTAGTTGTTCTACTGTGAGTGAGAAAGCCTTATTATCATCGTATTTAGTTGCATATCGTGTGGCAAAAGAGAAAATGGCTCACACAGCTGCTGAAAAAATTATTCTTCCAGCATGTTTGGATATGGTGCGTACAATTTTTGATGATAAATCAGCTGATAAATTAAAAACTATACCTAGTGATAACACAGTATCTCTTCGAATTTGCACTATTGCAGAACATTTAGAAACAATGCTGATTTCTCGGTTACAGTCCGGTATAGATTTTGCAATTCAGCTTGACGAAAGTACTGATGTTGGAAGCTGTACAACACTTTTAGTTTATGTCAGATATGCATGGCAAGATGATTTTATGGAGGATTTTTTGTGTTGTTTAAATTTAACCTCACACCTAAGTGGATTAGATATTTTTACAGAATTAGAAAAGTGCATTGTTGGTCAATATAAATTAAACTGGAAAAACTGCAAAGGAATTACAAGTGATGGAACAGCAGACATAACTGGGAAACACAGCAGAGTAATTAAAAAATTGCTAGAAGTTACTCATCATGGTGCTGTGTGGAATCATTGTTTTATACATCGTGAAGCTTTAGCATCCAGAGAAATTCCACAGAACCTCATGGAAGTATTGAAAAATGCAGTGAAAGTCGTTAATTTTATTAAAGGAACCTCACTAAATAGCCGATTTCTTGAAACATTTTGTTCGGAGATTGGAGCTAACCATACCCACTTACTGTACCATACCAAAGTCCGTTGGTTGTCTCAAGGGAAAATACTGAGCAGGGTTTACGAACTCAGAAATGAGATTCACATTTTTCTCGCTGAAAAAAAATCACATTTGGCAAGGATCTTTGAAGATGACATTTGGGTAACGAAATTGGCATATTTAACTGATATTTTTGGCATTCTTAATGAACTAAGTTTAAAACTGCAGGGGAAAAAGAGTGATATATTCCAACATGTCGAACGCATCCAAGGATTCCGAAAGACATTATTGTTATGGCAAGCAAGGCTTAAAAGCCATCGCCCTAGCTACTACATGTTTCCAAGATTTTTGCAACATATTGAAGAGAATATTATTAATGAAACCACTCTGAAAGACATAAAATTAGAAATATTATTGCATCTCACTTCTCTCTCTCAAACTTTTAACCATTTCTTTCCAGAAGAGAAATTTGAAACATTAAGAGAAAACTGTTGGGTAAAAGATCCATTTGCTTTTCGAAATCCATTATCAATAATTGAGTTAAACTTGGTGCCTGAAGAAGAGAATGAATTACTGCAGCTCAGTTCTTCATATACATTGAAGAATGACTATGAAACATTAAGTTTATCAGCATTTTGGATTAAGATAAAGGAAGACTTTCCTTTGCTAAGTAGAAAGAGTGTCCTCCTATTATTACCATTCACAACAACTAGCTTGTGTGAACTAGGGTTTGCAGTTTTGACCCAGTTGAAAACGAAGGAAAGAAGTGGACTGAACGGTGCAGCAGATATGCGGGTAGCATTATCCTCCTGTGTTCCAGACTGGAATGAACTTATGAACAGGCAGGCCCACCCATCACACTAAGTAAATTTTACCTGGTTTTTGTTTTTGTGTTTCTTATTTTATGGTATTTTTCTATGTTGTATTTAAATGTTACTATGTCATGTGATAACTTTGTTATGTTTTTATTTTTGTTATATTTAACAATAAAATCATAATGTAATTTTATATTCATTGAACAAAAATTTAATGAACTTCTGTTAGAGACCAGGGATTGTTCTAGAGACATTTGGGATACAAAATGAAGAAAACAAAGATAAGTCTCTAGTGGAGCTTATTATGTTCTAGCAAGGAGAGAGACAAAAATATTAGGTGTCATAATATTTAGAAGATAAGTGCTATAGGAAGAGTAATGAGAAAGTGATCAGGGAGCTATTTAGGGACTAAACCATAAACGGCTCTGTATACCATTAAAGGGCCTATGGGTTTTTTGTCAGTGAAATGGAGAGCAATTGAAGGGTTACCTAGAGGAGAGACATGATCTGAATTAGATTTTAAAAGACTCACTCTTGACTACTATTTTGAAAACATTGAATTTAATACTACTTCTCTAAAGAGGCCTCTCCTAACAACTGTAGTTTGGGTACATGCATTATTCTTTTATTTCTTTGGGTTTTTTTGTAATATATAATTTGTAATATTTTTATTTGATTGCTAGTTCTGTCAGTGTGCCACACTTGGAATGAATTCATAGGAGCAGAGATTGTGTCTGTCTTGCATACATAGTAAGGGGGTATTCACTATACATGCAATGAAGAACAAATGAATTGATATAAGTATCTAACACCTGTAACTTGAAGTCATACTTAAGGAATAATTATTAAATTCATGGCAAATTTCTTTGACTTATTTACATTTAAAAATCTCATTTTGTCAGATAATCTCTACAAGCATCCAAAAATGGCATTGATTAATGTTGCTTCCTCACATTGTGGCTGAAAATTAAGCAACATATACTGCTTAATATAACTCCCTCCAAGTAATTTCAGCTTCTGCCTTTCTTTACATATTCCCTGACCCCAATGGGTGATGTTTCATTCGGCATGGGCTTTCTCTAAAGTCATACAGATTAATAATTCCTTTCCATCCATGTCTAGCATTGCTGTAATGTTTGATTTTTTTTTAGATTTTCTATTTTATTAAAGGTAATAGAATTTTCCCCTTTTCGGTGCTTCAAATAAAGTGTTGGAAGACAATTCTCCATGAATAGCTCACATTTCTGCACAGTCTGGATCCTCTGAATGAAAGTATTGGCATCTAAGTTAAGAATGTATAAGAAGACATTCAGGATAGTGAAGTTACAGACATCTCTTCCCCTAGAAACATCCCAGGGAAGTAAAGATAAACCCCTCTCCGCCCTCCCCAGAGACATGTGCTTGCATTCCAGGAGTCATGAGTAATGTCTCTAGGGAAGGATGGGAAGATGTACCAGCAACCCCATCAAACCCTAGTCTCCTACTGCAGGCAGAGGTAACATCTGGCCCATCTCACCACATGCTGTGGGAATTGGGGCATGGGGAATTAATACATAATGCTGATCTGGCTGCCCTCTTTGTTGTTTTCTATTATTGTGTCTCAGACCCAGAGGCCTTCGGTCGGTCTTTCTGTCAGTATATGTCAGTTCTTTACCATGCAAAGCTGCATATTCACAGGTTCCAGGGATTAGGATTTGGGTATCTTTCAGGAGTGGGGGTGGGAGACCGTTATTCAGCCTATCTCAGTCCACCTCTGGTTCTCAAAGACTCATACCAATCCATCCTGCATGAAACATACATTCATTCACCCATCCCAAAAGTCCTCCCAAATGTCAGCCCATTATAGCATCAACGTTAAGTCCAAAATTGCAGAATCTAAGTCTCATCAGCTCAAAAGTCTCAAGTCTCATACCTAAGTCAGGTATGGGTGCAGTTCTGTGTATAACCCATCCTGGGGCAAAATCCTCCATTAAAGGACCTGTGAAACTAGAAAGCAAGTTCTGTGCTCCAAAAGTACAGTGGTGGGACAGGCATAGAAGTAACTGTTACAGCCATTTCCATTTAAAAAGGCAAAAGGAGTCACCAGCCAATCACTTATAAAGTCCACCTGAGCAAACCCCAGTTAAGTTCCAAATCTTGGGACTAACTCATGCGGCTCATGCCTCTGCTCTGTGGACCGGTGCCTACACTCGAGTTGTGACTCCACCCTTTTAGAATACGAACAGCTCAGCAATGAATAATATTCATAAGGCCATAATCACGTACATGCGGATTATTGATTTAAAGTATGGTATATCTGTGTCAGGGCGATGAAGGGTACAGGAAGATACCTTTTGAGGATGTGGGATTTAAGATAAAACTTCCCTTTCCATGCTAGGAAGACAAACTAATATCCAAGATGGGAACATCAACAAACAGCATAAGGGCCTGTTATTTAGAAATGTGGAAACCAATAATACCAGGAAAAAACTGTTGCAAGAGTTAAAAATGCTTATTTCTGGAATGTAGACTTGAGCTAGGGAGGGGATGGGCAGGAAAAGATGGAATTTGGTTATAAACTTTAAAAATGGAAAAAGAGATTCAAAGAAAATGTTATAGAACCCTCCAGACCTCCTCCTCACCTGCCACCCGTTTTATCAAATGCCTGCCAGGCACTCAGAATTCATAGCCATCATTATTGTAAAAATTGAGAACTAAGCCCTCCATGAGGAATTCTGTTAATCCTGGCATCCTGGCTCTCTAAACGATTGCCTCTAGGATTTCTGCCTCAGTCACGGAGGGAGATGGTGGCCTCGAAAAGTTACTTCACTTCCCTGGGTTTCTGCATCTGTTAAATGGGGACAATAAACCTAGCTCCGAGGATGTGAAAAGCACATGAAAAAAACGATGCTTGTAGAGTGCTTGGCACATAGAGCAGCTCAATAAATATTTGCTTTTGTGGTTATTATTTCCTGAAAATGAAACCCACTCATCATTGGCGGATGGAAAAAAGGGCGTCTGTCAAAGTTGTCATAGTTTGGAGCCAGAAACATCTTCCTTCTGCCAACTGAACTCTCCTTTCCTGTTCTTCAGCCTCCCTTCTGCTGGGGGGGGGGGGGGGGGGCTCCTCTGGACTCAGGCCAAGATTAGCCAAGAGCAAATGTCCTGGCCCAGGTGATGTCCCAACTCAGTCCTGGAACCGAATCAGAAAGCCATCGAGGGTGTTGTGTTGAGAAGCCGGCGCAGCTGCTGTACTGAATTAAGAACATGAAGATTATGACTTGCTGCACGAAGGGGTACAAGCCACCCACACGGTGGGCAGGTAGCTCCCTCAGCACCCAGCCCCCACGTTGGGAAAGTGAAACCCATGGGGTCCTTTGGATTGAAGGCACAGTTTCAATACACCTACACAAATAAAGGATTTATTACTTACAGATCTTAGCAGGGGGTGGGGGCGCAGGGTACAACGGTGGGGTGTGGGGGAGGGCAGCCAGTCCTCCGGTGAAGAGACAGAGGGAGACAGAGCAAGGTAGCAGGCACGTATTACTTAACTTGGGGCGGAGTCATTGACGTAACTCTACGTGGGCTTAAGTCTTAGTGGTTATTCGAAAAGGTGCCCCAGAAAAGCAAACCGAGAACTTACGGCGGGAATCCTAAACTCAAGCCCTCATCTAAACGTCCACTTGGTGTAGCATCCTGTGAAACGCCAAGGCAGCAACTCAGAAAAACAAAAGCTTTAATCCCAGCGTCAGCTTGCGGGAGCCACCTCAGTGCGAAAAGGAAACAAGTCCAGGCGGCGCCCCCAAATTCCGCGATGGCTGCGCCGCGGCGCGCACGGTCCCGGTTGTCGCTCTCCGCGCTGCTGCTGCTGCTGGCAGCGGGCGGTGTGGACCACGCACACGCGCGGTGGAGCGGGGAGGGCACCAGCCCACACCTGCGGAGCATCTTCCTGGGCCGCTGCGCGGACTACCTGTTGTTGCTGGGCCCTCAGCTGCGGTGAGCATCGAGGGCGGGAGTGGGGGCGTGGAGCGCGTAAAACCTGGAAGGAGGAGCGGACTGGGAGGGGAGGAGGGAAAATAAAGGAGACCGGGGAGAAAAACACAAAGAGGGGAAAAGTGGGCCGTCAGGAGGTGAGAGGAGGGTGTGGGGACAGGGAAATTGGGTCCAAAGGTCAGGAGCCTGGGGGAAATAGGGGGTCTTGATATGAGGAGTGCGCGTGGGGGAAGGGTGGGGGTCCTAAAGGTCAGGGAGCCAAGTGTGGAGGATGGGGAGTCTAGAGATGAAGGGAGCAGTGTTGGGGACTGCACATGAGGGGTGTATGTGTTTGTAAATGAAGGAGGGTGTGGGGGTGGGTCTACAGGTGAGGATTAGGGAGAGGCGAGTTTGGATGACAGCTCCAGACCCAGCAGACCCAGGAATTCCACAGGAATTCCAGGAGTTCAGGTACTTCAGGAATTGAAATTTCAGATCTCATGTGGAGGACTTTTTTTTTTTTTTTAAGTTTGTGTGTCTTTTGCCAGCTCTGTGCTTCTTGCTAAGTTTTGTTCCTTCTTTGGACCCATTTTTTTATGTTTTCACAGTCTCTTTCCTGTGCCAGTTGTTTTTAATGTGACACATTTCCGGCAGGAAAAAAAAAAAAAGGCAGAGAATCATATGAGGAACACCATGTTACTTACCACCCAATACAAGAAATAAAATGTTACTAAAACAGTGGGAAATGCTTTTGGAAAGCTAGACTGGAAGTCAAGAGCTGTGGCCAGCACTGGAGGTCGTCCTTTCTGCTTACCAGGAGGTGCAACAGCCTTTCTCAACACTTGGCACTCATTCCTGATTTTTCAAGGTCCTGCACCTGGGCCTGACCTCACCTGGCCCCACCCCAACAATGTACCCCCTTGTTTAAAGGAAGAAGCTGGGAGCCTGTGTGGCTTTATTGGAATTGTCACCATTTAGCTCAGTGCCTTTTTTGCTCCTCTCTGTGAGCGTGGGGCAAGACTTTATTCCTTAGCTCTGAAAAACTTGTGTAGTACCATCTGAGACACTTCCACTGTCAGATTTCTCAGTTTATCCCCTAAGTTCTTTTTTTGTTTTTCCTCTTCTGAATTGGGGTTAATGCATAAGCCATGACAATTCCCTACTTTTTTTGTATGCTTAGTTTGGCAGAGTTGATGTATGACAAAAGGGCTTTTAAAGTTCTTAAAGTACATTGAGAGAAATGAAAAGATCACATTACTTGTGTGATTTTTCCCCCCCTCTATAAACTTTCTCTTTTGCACAGGGACAAGAACTGCACAGCCATCTGGGAAGCCTTTAAAGTGGTGTTGGATAAGGACCCTTGTTCCGTGTTGCCCTCTGACTATGATCTTTTTATCAACCTCTCCAGGCACTCCATTCCCAGAGACAAGGTAACTCCATGACCCCATAAAGCATTGCTCTGTAAAGACAGAGTTGAGAGATCAGCTGCATCCAGCCACCCCGCAGTTTATGGGAACCTCAGCCACACACTCACAGTGCACTTGCACTTGTGGAGCTCTGGGGTGGGAAGGTGGCTTCATCTTCAGCAGTGACCCTGGCCTTCCTGCCTGTTTGGGCAAAAGGAAATTTCCTAAGTCAACAAGTCAGTGCAAGAAACACAAGGGCATCAGGATGGCGCCACACTTTTCCACCCCTAGCCAATTCTGTCCTAACTGACCCTAACGGCCTGAACCTTGAGTAATCCAAAAAGTGCTCAAACTCAAGCATCCTCCCAGAAAACCAATTTCTCCTTGTAACAGGCATGAAGATTATATCTACTTAGTATCAGCGTCTTTAGGAAAACCACGTATCTGTATTGTCTGCACTCTAAATTCTACTAAAATGAAAATAAATGAGAAAATCCATATAAAATGCTTGCTTAGAACAGTACCTTGATTTGAAAGAACATTAGGTAGCATTTTCATTTTTCTGACATGATTCTTAGCCTGATTTTTTTCATTGTACAATCTTACCATTGATTTTTTTTTTTCATTTGTAAGGGCAGGTAAAAATGGAGCTGGAGGGTCAGAGATATAATAGACCGAAAACATGATTTTTAAGTGTATGTTGCATTTTGAACCTTGCTGCCTCCCTGCCAGTAGAAGAAGAGCCATAAAGCGTGGCCTCTTCCTGCATAGATTTTGGTTCTAGTTGATGAACTCAGTAAATACTTACTGAGCTACTTCCATGTGCTGGGCATTACGCTAAGGGTTGAGGCTACAACAGGAAACAAAACAGCCCCTGCCCTCAGGAGCTTCCAGTCTAGACACACAAAAAAACTGGACTCCTGGGGATCTGATGAGATAATGAGTGAGCAGGGTATTGTTATTTGTATTATAGTTATGTGAAAACACTAACTTCACAGTGGGAACTGTAAAGTATAATACAAAAGAAATGTATTTGTGAGGCCGTTTATACTTTAGGAAGTGCTTTTTGTGATTGCATATCATCCTAACCACAGCAGTGGAACAAGAGAAAGGGCTCATGGTCCCCATTTTCCAGATGTGGAAACTACATACAGGGAGATTATTATTATTATTATTAAAGATTTTATTGGGGAATTGGAGAAGGGAACAGTGTTGGGGAATTGGAGACGGGGAACATTGTGTTTTTCCAGGACCCATCAGCTCCAAGTCAAGTTGTTGTCTTTCAGTCTTAGTTGTGGAGGGCGCAAGCTCAGCTCCAAGTCCGGTCACCGCTTTCAATCTAGTTGTGGGGGAGGGGCGGGGGAGGCGCAGCCCACCATCTCATGTAGGAGTTGCACTGGCAAGCTTGTTGTTAAGAGCACACGCTTTCGCCAGCTGAGCCATCCGGCTGCCCATTGGCAGCTCAATAGCACCTCAGCTCGGGCGCAGCTCACTGGCCCATGTGGGAATCGAACCGGCAACCCTGTTGCTCAGAGCTTGACCTCTAACCAACTGCACCGCCTGGCTGGCCCCAGGGAGATTATTAATGCATGCCTTGGTCAAAATCACACATTTAGTGTATCACAGAGCCAAGATTCAAACCCAGGTCCCTTGATCGTCTTTTATATCCAGGGATCTTCACCACACTCATGCACCACACTCCACATTGTCTCCACATTGTACTACTGGGAAAATATTTCATTAACATTTGCATGATACCCTTGGACTAAAAGGAATAGAAGTGCTACCACTCTCTGAATGGGTCAACTAAAATGAAGACAATAAAGAGCAGTTGATGTGAGGCAAGTCAGAGTTGAATGAGAAATGGGTCACCTGCTTACCTTGATGATATTGTGCCTGAAAAAAAAATTTGTTTTGATTTTATTTTATAGTTTAATGTCATGTTTGTTTTTCCTTAGTCCCTGTTCTGGGAAAATAATCAGTTCCTTGTTACTAACTACGCAGAGAACACCCGTCGCTTTATGCCTGTGAGTGACATTCTGTACGGCAGGACTGGAAATTTGTTGAGCTGGTGTCGACAGAAAAATGCCTCTGGTAAGACTCCCACACAAATCACAAGAAAAATAAGAGTTCTTGTTTATTGTGCTTTGCCATTTGTGCTAAGTGTTTTCATATGCATCTATCTCATTTGATCCCTTCCCTCAATCCTCTGAGGTAGGTGGTAATAATAATAATAATTAATAATAATAATAATAGATAGCATTTATCTTTTACTAGGTACTTTCTAAGCACTTTACATATATTAACTAATTTAATCCCTGTAACAGCCCCATGGGATAGGGCCCATCCTAATCCCTATATTGACAAATGAGGAAACCAAGGCACAGCAAGGTTAAGAAACTTGCTCAGGGGTGTGCAGCTGGCAAACAGCAGAGTCGGACTGTCTAACTGTAGAGCACATGCTCCCAACCCTGCACAACTCAGCCGCACTATCCTCATTTTCCAGAGGGGGAAACAGACAGAGGCTTAGGGAGGTTAAAACACTTGAAGAGATAGAAGCCAGAATTCAACGCTCTTCTGATGGATCTGAAGCCTGTGCTGTTAAATGCCACTCCAGGCCACCAGCAGATATTTCGAGATTAAAATCATAGTGGAAGTTTAAGTCACAAGGACTGACCTGATGATAGCGACAACTCTCCTCATTCATTCGGCTCCCATGCTAGGAGCTGGCAGTTCGCATCCCCACCCTCAGGGAGCTGATAGCCTTGTGAGGGACATTTACTCCTTCATCTGTGTGCTGTGATGCAGGAAGGACCTGGTACTACAGAGGAACAGAGTGAAACACCAGCCTTGACCAGGGTATCCAGGAAGCTTCCTAGTGGCTCTTGGCTCTGGATGAATCTTGAAGGATGAGAAGGAGCAAGGCCAGGACGTGGGGGGAGGTGTTCCCTTTGTGAAGGCTGGAGATTCTTCCGCCCTGAGTGTCGGAGTCACTTTAAAAGTTAACCTGAGCTCAGTTGTGTTTATTCTTCTCCATTCATGTATCCATCCAGCTAACATTCATAGAGTGCCTCCTATGTGCCAGGTCTCCCTCTTTCAGGTACTGGGCACACCGCAGAGAATAAAACAGGAAAATATTAATAATACCTGTCCTTACATTATATGTATAGGGGAGGGATAAGACAGTAAATGGGCAAGTAAAATATATTGTCTACCATAAGATTATAAGGGCTACAGAGAAAAGCAAGTCAGGGAAACAGGACAAGAAGTGCTAGACGGGTGAGGAGAGAAGAGGAAAGCGTTGCAATCTTATACAGGCCCAGGGAAAGCCTCACTAAGAGGCTGCTATTTCAGCAAAGACCTGAAGGAGACAAGGAAGAGCATTCCCTGACAGAGGGACCAGTAGGTGCAAGGGCCCTGAGCTGGGAGTGTGTCTGACATATTTAAGGAACAGCAAGGGGGCAGTAAGTAAAGATAAAAGTGGTCGGCTACGAGACTAGAGGCATAAAGGAGGCCCCGACGGCCAGGACATTGCAAGCACTCTGGCTTTCACTGTGAGTGACATGGGAAGTACTTCAAGGTAAAGGGCAAATGGACGTGCCCATTCTTCCAATGGATGAGGAAATGATCCCTGACTGGGAAGCCTCAGTTTGATTATCCTGCAGAGGGTGGGTGAGAATGGCAGAGGGATGTGATGGAAACAGCATGATGGGAGGGTGTGGTATAATACAAAATAAGTATTTGGTCTTTGTCTCCCAGTTTCTGGCGCATAGCTCCTAAAACCCTTGGAATCTGAGGAGTGATAAAAGTGTCTTTTGTATGGCAATGAGATGGCTGGTGGCTGAGGCTGTATATGTTGGGCTGTTGGAAAAGTCATGACGTATTTTGCCTGTTTTTCAAAGGTCATTTATTTATATAAAGAACAAAGATCAATCGATATATTGCCTGTTTAGGTCGATAACCTTTTGCCGTCTTTCAGTGAGTTTCATAATTCCTTGTTCAAGGAAGGACTTGTCTTAATTTGTGAAAAACTGAACAAGGTGCTGATTTACAGCCTCATCTGAATTGAACGTTATACCACGCAAAAAGTTTTGAAGAGAGCGAGACATGTGGAAGTCTGATGGCACAAGGTCAGGCGAGTATGGTGGGTGTGGTAACACATCCCATCCAAGCTCCAATAATTTTTGACGGGTGATCAAACTTGTGTGTGGTCTCACATTGTTACGATGGAACACAACTCCTTTACAATTAACAAGCTCTGGATGTTTCTGGATGATGGATTCATTCAAACTGTCCAATTGCCGACAGTACATATTCGAATTGATTGTTTAAGTCCTTGGTAGGAGTTCGAAAAACACGACACCTTTAAAATCCTACCACACTGAGAACATAACCTTCCTCTGATGAATGTCTGCTTTTGATGTCATTTGAGGCGAATCATCACGTTGGGACCAAGACTGTTTGCACACCACATTGTTGTAACAATCCACTTCTCATCACCAGTTATCCGTTGCTTCAAAAAAGGATCGTTTTCCTCACATTTAATGAGCATATTGCAGATTTTTATATACGCCATCAAATGAACTTCTTTGAGTTCATGTGGAACCCAAATATCGAGCTTGCTTATGTATCCCAGCTTCTTCAGGTGGTCGTGAACACTTGAATGTTGGGTGTTCAATGTTCCTGCAATCTCGCATGTCGTGTAACATGGGTTTGACTCGATCAATGCCTTTATTTTGTCATCATCAACCTTGGTGGGACTCCCTGACCGAGGAGCATCATTGAGATCAAAATCACCAGCACCGAATTTTGTGAACGATCGTTGGCACTGACGTTCTTGTAGAGCATTGTCACTGTAAACTATATGCAACTTTTCACAAGCTTGATGTGTGTTCTTCCCTTTATAGAAGTAAAACAGTAAAATATGGCAAAAATGCACAGTTTGGTCTTCCATCTTCAACTTGTTGTAAAATCTCCAAAACTCAACCAAATGGCTCAATATTTTTTAGAATGAAGCTAGAACTGTCAGCTGTCAAATGACACAGCAATAACATAGATGCAAATGACCCTATTACTTCCATAAATGAACTAGTGCCATCTGTTGCAAACATGCGGCATGACTTTTCCGACAACCCAATAGCTTCAGATGGGGTTTGATCACCAGAAAGACCAAGGCGTGATTAGAGACTTGGAACTTTGAGACCCATTTTCTGTCCTCTAGGAAGGGGAGATGGGCTGAAGATTGAGCTAATCACCAATAGGCAATGATTTAATCAACTATGCCCACGTAATGAAATCTCCATTAAAAATCCTTAAATGATGGGGTTTGGGGAGATTCTGAGTTGGTGAACGTATCAAGATGCTGGGATGGCAGTGCACCCAGATACGCCGTGGAAGCTCCACGCACCCACCCTCCATACCTTGCCTATGCATTTCTTCCATTTGGCTGTTCCTGAGTTGTACTCTTTACAAGAAGCCAGTTATAGTAAATAAGGCGTCTTCCTGAGTTCTGCAAGCCATTCTAGCAAATTATGGCACCTAAGGAGGGGTTGTATAAAATCCCTTGAATTTATAGCCAGTTGGTTGAAAGTGCAGGTGTCAATTTTCAGCTGGTGTCTGAAGCGGGGGAAGTCTTATGGGACTGAACCCTTAACCTGTGTACTTTGTGCTAATTCTGCATAGTTAGTGTCAGAATTTAATTGGATTGTAGGACACCCAGCTGGTTCCTGGAGAGTTGGGAGAAATGACTGGTATGGGGAAAGAAACCCCACACATTTGTTGTGAGAAGTGTTGGGAGTAAAACAGCTCAGAAAAAGTGTCCCAGAAAACCACAAGGTTGTTCCCCACCTCTCTGTTTCTATCTATGCCATCCTATCAGGGGTCTTTGTTTAAAAAGGAAGTGAAGTCCAGAGGTTAGGGTCAGCAAAATAGTGGGATGTTCATATCAATGGAGTCCTGTGGGGCCATGAACAATGATGATCAGGCTTTGTATTTATTGATCTGGATAGGTGTTTGTGACATTTAAAAAAAAAAGATTTTATTGGGGAATTGGGGAAAGGAACAGTGTTGGGGAATTGGGGAAGGGGAACATTGTGTTTTTCCAGGACCCACCAGCTCCAAGTCAAGTTATTGTCCTTCAATCTTAGTTGTGGAGGGTGCAAGCTCAGCTCTAAGTCCAGTCGCCGTTTTCAATCTAGTTGTGTGGGGAGGTGGGTGGGGGGGAACACAGCCCACCAGCCCATATGGGAGTGGCAACTTTGTTGTTAAGAGCATGCGCTCTCACCAGCTGAGCCATCTGGCTGCCCATTGGCAACTCACTGGCCCATGTGGGAATCGAACCGGCAGCCCTGTTGCTCAGAACTTGTGCTCTAACCAACTGAGCCACCTGACCAGCCCCTGTGACATATTTTTAAGTGAGAAATCAAGTCAATCCAAATTAAAAATATATACACAATACATATATGAAAATGTGCACATGAAAAAGTCAAGAAGATAGTAAACCCAAACTGTTAACAGCAGTTCTTGCTGGGAATATGAAATCATACATTTTTTCGTATCCACATTTACCTTTTTTTTTGTAATTTGGATATATTACTTGTGAGAATAAAGATTTTTATTTATTTATTTATTTTAAATTTCTTTTAGCTGAGCCACCCTGCCACCTGTTGGCAGCTCAGCTCAGGTCGTGAATCGAACCAGTGACCCTGTTGCTCAGAGCTCACATTCTTGAGTGAGCTCTTAACCATCTAAGTCACTCGGCCAACTATGAGAATAAAAATTTTTAAAGAAGAAAATTTTTCAGCTAAGTAAATGATCATTAATAATACCAGTTGTTCATAGTCTAACAACAAGAAAGTATAAAACAGGTAAATACAGAAATTATTGGCTGTCAGAAATGGAGGAAGGGACCCTGGGAAGCTAGAGAGTTATTATCAATTGTGATATGTACCATCCTCTGTGTCATGTGCCATCCAGGGGACCGCTCTGAGCCTCAGATCTCTGAGAAATTGGGACATGGGCCTGCAGAGATGATAACCTGAACTGTTTGCAACTCTAGAGTGTGTAATTCAACCAAGTAATTACTACTCTCTTAAGTAATGTTAAGTAATGGTCCTTTCTTAAGTTATGCAATGGACCTTGCATCGGAAGACTAGCTCCTTAAAAACATTACAGATTGCCAGATTTGCACCTGCCCAAAGCACGCCATTTCCCCCCAGGTAGTACACAGTTTTGCCCTCTTTGGTTCTTTCTGGAACAACTTGTCAACTAGCACTATCTCATGTTTTTATAGAGTAAATGGTGAACAAATACCATATGTATCTGCTGTTTTGTATCTATAAAATTTAATACATTTGAACATTTTGTATATTTTAAATGTATAAAATATCTTTTCTGGTTAATATCTATTTTCTTGGTCTATTTTTCTTATATTTACTTTCAAGACCAGGGCTAACTGGAGAAAGAACTTCTCCTCAGAAAACAAAAAAAAATTTTTAAGCCTCTTTACTAGAGTTCCAGTAGACAAATAACCCAGCTGACGTGCTGGTGCTCAGTGGTCGGCTAGGTTCGCTCATCAGCCAGCTGCTCAGGTCTCTGCCTTCCTCGCAGTTGTGCCAAGCAAGAGGACAGATGTCTTCACATCACATATTGGGTGGTCACTCACCAGGCTCTTTGTAGATTGGGTGGGCAGAAATGAGACTGTTCAACTTGTACAGAACACAGGCTAACTTATTGGGTTGTTGGAAAAGTCATGATGCATTTTTTTGCAACGAAAAAAATAGAAAAAATACGTCATGACTTTTCCGACAACCCAATATATTCTGTGGAGAAAGCAAGTATTTTAAATTCATTTTTCCCAATGTAATCTTGAAATGAAATGTGTTTGTGTGTTTTCCCCTTAGGACTCGATTACGAATCCTGCCCTACATCAGAAGATTGTGAAAACAATGCTGTGGATTCTTTCTGGAAGAGGGCATCCATGCAGGTCATGCTGGGCTGGGCAGCTGGGTGGCTGAGCGTGGGGGACCACGGGAGAGAGGGGTTCAGCGACTGGGCCATAGGGTTATTACTTAACTTCTCAGAGCCTCACTTTCCACCTTTGCAACATTCTGACTCACTCTCTCTGCTCCATAAAGTTGTGACTTGAAGCTAAAAAACTTAATGCAGTGCCTGGCACAGGGAAATGAGTCAGTGAATGTTAGTCATGGATAAGGATGCCGAATAGTCGCTATTGTTATCCTGTGGTTGGTGTTAGTATTTCAAATCAATGTGCTCTTTATTGCTCTGTAAAACGGGGTGGCCCCTGCTTTCTGGGAGGCCGTGGGATACCTGAGATCTAGATGTGGGGGTCAGAAATGTCTACAAGACTGATGTCAGTGGGAGAGGAGGGGATAGGTGACCGAGGACAAATGGGAGACATGGGAATGATCCCCTTAAGGTAAGTCAACTCTTTAGACAGTGTTGTCACCAGAGTTGATGATAGTTACCAGTAGCTATAAAATGCCGGTGAGTACAGCTTACGTCTTCTGACACCAGAACAAAGATGAGGAATAGTGTTAAATCTTTAGCTCAGTGCTCAGCAAAGAGCTGTCTACTATTAAATGTTGGCTATATTGACTCGGGTGGCCCATGGACCTTCAGGGTCCTCCCACCCACTGCTACCAATCCCCTTTCAGGGCCATCCGTGTCTCTGGCTCTTGAGATGGCCACTGGGTCCATCCTTAATCAAGGTTAGAGGGACTTTGGTCAAATCCTCCACCATGGTGGCAGTTGGGAGCTAAGCAGAGGGCCTGCTCTAGACAAAAGACATTCTGTTTATTCCTGTGCTCTCCTGCCAGTCTAGCGGGAGCACTCCATTTGCACCCACTGCCCATACCTTCTTTTTGGAGTGCAGGCTGTAGTCATTGGCAGTGGACTGCCTGAGCCCCTCACTGAGATCTGAGGGGCTGTGGGTGTGTTATCACCTGAACGTAGATCATGATGGCAACTCAGGGGCGATATCAGCATTACACATAAAGGAACCATATAGTCTACCTAGTGGATCTGCCTAACTTCAAAATGTGTGCACCAAACTGCCATCTTATATTTCCTCCAGTTGTATAATTGGGAATCTAGTAATTGTGCCCACATTCTAAGAACTCTTAGAATTTGCTGGATAGTCCAAGCCTTTGGAGAGGTAGTAGAGTGTTAAAGAGAGGGTCTGAACCATAGTACAGATGTATTCAATAAGTTTGATTAATTATTATTGTAAATGATTTGATCTTTATAACAGTCCCATGAGGTAAGGACTCGTATTACCCTTGTTTTAGAGGTAGGAAACATGGGGCACCGAGAGGTCAAGACACATAACCAGACTTATTACATGGCTAATAAGCAAGGAGCCAGAGACCAAATTTTCAGCCACCGCATCATTCATGCCTCATTGTATCTGCCTGCACTTTTTAATTAATTTTTTTATAATCAATGTAATAGCTGCTCATGATAGGAAATGACAAATTGTAAAAAATATAGATAAAATTAATCATCCATAATTCCTACCACTTAAAGGCAACCCTTTCAGCATGGTGGTCATCAGACCTTGACATTTGTGTGTTTAACCGTGACTGTTAGCACCATTTGGAAACAACCTGAGACATGCGTGACATGGACTGTAGTGTCGCTTTGCTGCAGCTGGCTTTGGCCATCACTGTGCTGGAGAATAAGCCCAGTCACATGTATCTCAGGGCTGCATAATGCCATTACCTCACCCCCTCTCCATTCTAGTGTAAACATTTTATCCGGGAAATTATATGCTCCAGCAGTGTTCTGAACTGGAGCTATGGGGACTTCTCTGGACTCTCTTTTCCTGGGGAATTTCAGGGGTTGACTAATATTCCCTGACTTCTGCCCATTTATTTTTAACATAGTAGAGTTCTTGTTCCACTCACCTAACCTTGCATTTTGCTTTGAATGAAAGCACTTCCTACGAGTATGCTGTGGCAAATCTTTTGTAGACTTGTATTAATGGCTGGGTAATATTTCAGACCTGTAAGTATCATGATTTACTTGCCATTCCCTTGTCATTGACTATTTCAAATGGGTTACAAATGATGCTGCAATACACACCTTTGCACACCAGGTGGTCCTTAGCACTCTTTACCAAATATTTCTGGATCAGCTTTTTTGCACTCCTCTGCCTCTTAAAGTTACTTACGTGTGACTTGCACTGGCCAATGAGATATGAGTAGGAGTGACTGTGTTACTTCTGGGTGGAAGGAAGTCTTTAAGAACTGATAACTAGTGACTTTGCAGATATGGACACTTCATCAGTTTGGGTCCCAGAGTAAGGAGCAAAAGCTCAATGGACCTGTGATAAACATATAGTGTGAGCATGAAATAAATCAAGTTTCAATGTAGTTTAAAGCCATTGTGATTTCAAGGTTGTTCATAATGCAGCAGCATAACTTAGTCCGTTCCAGCTGATACAATGCTGGCATCTGACACTATATCACATTATTTTCTTAGGGTAAATTCCCAGACATGGAATTACTAAGTCTATAAGTTTTTGATATTTCAAAGCAATTGGCTTTCCAAGATAATACTAGTTTGCATCCCTTCTAGCTGTATGAAATGTCAAATTTATCACACCCTTGCCAGTATTGAGAATCATCAATGTAAAAAAAAAATGGCCATTGAATAGCTGAAAAAGGACATGTTTTAATTTACTCAAAATTCTTGTTTCTTCTTACAGTATTCAAAGGATAGTTCTGGGGTGATCCACGTCATGTTGAATGGTTCAGAGCCAACAGGAGCCTATCCTGTAAAAGGGTAAGAATGTCAGCACCAACAAATACAACAGAAATGCCAAATTGTTTATTTAGTTGTTTTGAATGGAGGCTTAAGAGAATCATCCTAGTCCCCAATCTAATGCTTGCTTTTATAAGTTCAGGTGGAACAAAATAATCGAATGACCTGGAGATCAGAGACATGTCTGTACAGTTTTACCATTAACAACTGATGAATGCATGAATGAAATCAGTAACCTAAAAATTAAAGCAAAAAAATTACCCCCCAAAGCTTTAAAACAACAGTAATGTGTAAATCAGCTAACAATGAAATGGGGAAAGCATCACACTGCTTTAAGACTTTAAAAAAATGTCTTTCCTATTTTTCAGGTTTTTTGCAGATTTTGAAGTTCCCTACTTCCAGAAGGATAAAATCACACGAATTGAGATCTGGGTTATGCATGAAATTGGAGGACCCAAAGTGTAAGTTATAATGCTATTGATGAGGGTAACTGTGTAAACATGCTTTTCTTGGATGCGTTATGATCAAGTCTGTTTTACATTTTCAATTTTTGCGGAAATAATAGTCTTCTCTGTTTCTAATGTGAAGGGCAGAGAAAGGGAAGGCTTAACTTTATGCAAATGCCACTAGCCAACCCTGAGCCCAGGGAAAAAACCACTTTTATCCAGATACACCTCTCAGCCAAGGAAAGTCATGTTCCTTTCTGAGCAACCTAGGCAGCTTTGGATTGGAGAGTTCTCATGCATTTGTGTGGGTCAAAGCCAGTTTCTCTTTCTGTTCAGTTGAAGCCCCAAAACTCTTAACAAGAGTTCTACAAATTGACCCGAAGACTATGTAATAATGAAGACCTTATTCTCAGAGAACAATCAGTTCCACAACTGGATCTCAGATAACTGGCCAAGGAAACTTTTAAGACCTATGTTTCCTGGGAAACCACTTGGTTTTATATAAATGTAAACTTGAACTCATCCTTCTTGTCAATGAAGGACACTGCTGGCAAAACTGCAGATGAAAACTTCAAACGCAGTTGGTTCAGAGAGAAGCCAACGAGGCCGAGCCCAGTTAAAGCTGTGCATCCATAATGGTCCTTGAGAGGCCAGCTGGAGCCTTGGTCTTCAGAGCATGGGTGTTACGTGGAGGAGAGTCCGGCCAGCTCCAATGAGCGGGGTGCTATTGAAAGTATATTCTGAAAGCAACTTAGCGAATTCCCCAGAACTTTTTAAGGCTCACCATATAACGAGTGATATTTTTCCCTCCTGCATTTCTTTTTCCAGAAGACAAATTATACATATTGTTGGATGAAAAACAATGTGTATTGTTTTTCTTATTTCTGTGAGAAGTTGCTCTTTGTCTAAAAATTATGCTTGCTTCTTGTGTTAATGTATCTATCAGAGAAAGCTTGTCCTTTGAACCTACCTTTAGGTTAGTTAAATACCATCTCAGGCCGCCCCTTCTGCTGCAGAAGAGATGATAAAGGGGTAGGAGCACCTGGTTGTATTTATACATTTGTGCCCCAGGGCGAAGTTGCAGGTCAGGAGCTAAGAAAGTGGTGTCCTCAACTGCTGAGATTTTAAGGGGAAAAGCAGAGGCAGAGCTCAAAACAGCCTGTGTATCCCTGATTGTGTTTAGCACTGCTTTGGCTGCCTTTATTTAAAAAAAAAAGAAAAAAGGAAAAGAACCCATTGGCCGAGCTCTGTGTCCAGGTGTCCTGGAACCTGCTTACCAAAACATCCTAAGACGTGAGCTTGGCCCAGAGAAGGACATGATCCCAGATTTTGGCAAGGTTCTAAAACATGATGTCACTCAACACCTTGCCCTCTTCACTCATGTAATGCCCGGAATTCCACTTCTTCTGGGAAAGCTTCTTTCTATCACTCGTTTTCTCCCTGTACACTCCCTCTCTAGTCATTTCACAGTGGGAGGCTGCTTGCCTCACCATTGCACATAAGCTGAGACAGGGCCCTCCCTGCTCATGATAGGAATACCATGCCTACTAAGCACAGCTGGCAGTGCTGTATCTACCTGTTTGCCTTTACACCTCCACCCCCACCCCCCCAATAATGTGAGATCTGGGGTATTTTTTTTTCTTTTTGTTTCTTTGGATTTTCTGATATTTTTCAATTTGTATGTCTTTGTTGCCATTTAGAGCTTAACTTAATACACTGTAGGTTGGACAGTTGGGTAGTTAACACTGTACTGGCTGGTGGCACATTGAGGAGCTGTGTTGGTGGGTGGGGCTATGAAATGCCCTGTGGCGCAGCACGCATGCGCCTGCAAGGCCCTCCCAGGGCACTTGGCTTGCATACTTCGGAGCAGCTGTTGGGTGCTCAGAGCAGCCCCTCCTGAGGTGCCATGGGTTTACCGCAAGCAGTACTTTTGGGTCCAGAGTTTTTTCCAGATATTTCTCCAGAGAGGAGACTATCCTAGGAGTACGTGGTCAAAATAAATTTTAATTCACCCAGAAACAATGTCTGCCATTCTCTGATTATATTTTATTTTTCTGTTTCTGTTTTTATGTTTTAGGGAATCCTGTGGGGAAGGCAGTGTGAAAATCCTGGAAAAGAGACTGAAGGACATGGGTTTTCAGTACAGCTGTATTAATGACTACCTGTAGGTGGTATATTATAATCAGTGCATGTACTCAAGGGTGGGCGGGGATTTTGGAGGGCAGAAGGCTGTGGAAATGGTTCTGTGGGGTCAGCTGTGAAGGCCAGGGGACTGTACCTGCTCAGTTGTCACTGGATGTGGGGACTGAGAGTGCCTCCTTGCCAGCTAGTGCCTGGCCCCACCCACTTCTGTCCAGAGCCCGTTTTAATGAGTTTAAAGGACAGAACAGCACTTTATCATTTGCGCATGTTCAGTTTCCTCCTCAGTTGCTTAGAACGTGGTGAGTAACCTGTGGACAGGAACCATGGTGCCTGCATCTTTGGGTGCCCTGCTGCCTGTGGGATCCTTTGCCCATGAAAGCTAAGGTGGAGTATGTTTGGGATACTTACAGATAGGTACATCTTGACTGTACACCAGTAGGAAAACAATAGTAGCTACCATTTATTGAACACATTATGGGCAAGGTACTTTATGTACTTATAATCAGATAGCGTTTGAGGGTGTTCCTGATTCTTGGAAATATAGATAAGTTTGGCTCAAAGCCTGGAACAGTTGAAACCACCCTCTACTGGGAACTCCTCACCTTACTGCTGATTGCTCCTCTCTGCGTCAGCACCTAAGTTTTCAGGCCTGTTTGGTTCCTGAGAGGCTGGAGTCCAACTCTGCAAGGAATCAGTGGCGTTGCTGACCATTTGAGGGTGTGGCAAGGTACAAATTCCATCTGCAGTCTCGTCAGCAGCCATAACCATCCAGCTGGCTCTGCCACCCTGTCGTCTCAAATGCCCGGTGGGCCAAATAACCCTCCCATCTGAGCAAAGCCCCCTGGAAGTGTGGGTCCCCCCTGACTCATGCCTCCCCTAAGGGAACCCTCAAAACTGTTCTTTTTTTCCTACAGCTTGAAGCTGTACCATTTTACTCATCTATTATGGCTAACACGCTCAGGAAATTCAAAAGTCAGGTGTTGTTATCACCCTCTTTTAAAGACAAAAGAAGCTGTTACTCTTTTGGAAATATCACCTATGTGCAGAAAAATGCACACACCTTAAGTACCAGTTGAACGAATTTTTACAAGCTCAGTATACACATGTTACGAGCACCTAGTGAAGAAACAGACATAACAAGCACCCCAGGGCCTCCCTTGACCTTCCTTTCCGTCTCCCTCCCACACCCCACCCATAATAGTGACCACTCTCTAGACTTGTAAAGTCACACATTAGTTTTGTCTGGTTTTTTCTCTTATAAATTTTTCAAATTTTAATTATGAATATTTTTAAGCACATGTGAATGGAGACAGAATAGTGTAATGAACCCCTACATAACTATCACCCAGCTTCAAAAATATCCCCTTTGTATGGATGGGTAGCTTAAGGATAAGAGAAGTTAAGTAAGTTTCCCAAGTCACCACTTAGTGACAGACCTGAGTTTTGAATTCAGCATTGTGTGGCCTCGAAGCATGCTCTTTGCTTTCTACTGTAGGACTCTTCCTTTCTTAAAGTATCAGATTCTAGTAAATTTTTAAAAAGTTGACTCTTACTCTAATACCGCTTTGTGATGGATAAATGGCTAAAATTTCATATTTATGACCACTTTGCTTAGGTTCAGGAACTCCCCTGAGGAGGCTGTCTTTTATAAGTCACTGGTCTAAGTATGGAGGCCCAGCCAGAGCCCAAGGTCTCCTGCCAGCTCACTGTTGTCCTCAGGGTCTCGGCCTGCTTTTATTCCACTAGTGGTGTCCCGGGCAAAGCTGGCCTCAGGGCTGTTCCCTTCTAAACCTGGCTCAGCACCCCCAACTCCCATTCCCTTACTGCCTGTGGGATCTTCCTGTGTTAAGGTGGGGTTTTGTATTTCTCCTGGGCGCATAGAGAAGGTAACAAAATGTTTCCCATGGGCCAGTGACAAAGGTTAACGAGTAATCAAACTCCAAACCAGATGTAAGTGAGGACTTCCTGCCCCACAAAGTGACACTGGCCTCTGTCCTGTGGCAGTTGAGAGTTCTCCCCAAGAGTCTTGCAAAGTTTGGCCAGGGCCTATCATTTCACAGCCTCTCTTGACTCCTGGTTGATTTCTGCTTAGCACAGTGTTGATCTAGACTCAGTGAAGTTCGATGCATTTTCGGGGGCATAATGACAACTACTCTCGTAAGAAATGGCTGCGTAGAGTAGACTTTATTGAAAAGTAGATGAGGCCTAGGAACGGGTTGCACAGCATGTCATAGAGTGAACAATGTATTTCCTATTCTCCCAAAGTCCCCTCCAGTCACTCTGCTATGAGAGAGCCTCTCTGGGCCTGTCTCCTACCTAGTGCCCAGTGTGCACCCTTACCTGGTTCCTCTCCCCTCTGCTGCTTTCTCTTCCCTCCCAGCTGCTCTGGAGCTCCACATCTCCCCCCCACACCATGCAGAGCAGTTTAGCTTTCTTTGCTGAAGCCCGGGCACCAGCCATCACCCATGTGCTTCAAGTCCAACCTTCTGCCTTAAGTGTTTGAGAGGTTTTTCCAAGCAAAATCATTCTTCCATACAGGAGTGATTCCATGCGTAGGCTCTAGTGAGCCTGCAAGGTTCAAGTTCAGCGCCACACTTGCGACTACTGTGAGACCTTGGGCAATTTCATCTGGACAGCTTTCTCAACTGTAAATTGGAAGTGATAATAGTACCTGTTCTGTGTGGTCATTGTGAGGATTAAATGATATCATTTACGGAAAATACATAATCAGTTTTTGATACACAGTGAGTGTTCAATAAAAGAAACTGTTTTTCGAGGTCAGAGACTTTGTATCCCCAGGTCCTTGCAGGCACACCATACATGTTTGATGCATGAAAGTCATTTAAACAATCCCTTAAATATTATTTCTTTTCAATCTACAGGCCAGTGAAGCTCTTAAAGTGTGTGGACCACAGCACTCATCCTGACTGTGCCTTAAATTCGTAAGTAAATATCTTAACCCAACCTCTTTGCTTCCCCAAGATAACCAGTCCTTACTATTTATAGAACACTGATGAATTGCAATATGATTTTTGCAAAGTGCCCGGCTGCAGAGTCAGGTTTGTATTTCTGTGCTGCATTTCTCTCAGCCTGAGCTGCTACGTTGGTACAGGCAGGATGAAAATCTGCCCAGCTGAGCAGAGCCTTCCCTGATCCGATGCGACGCTATGCTCTAGCTGAACCTGCTTCAGCACAAATTCTAAGATTGGGGTGGCAGGAGGGCCTTTTAAGCTGTATTTCTTAATCCTAACATTTTAAAATCATATTAATTTTTTGAAAAGGTAATACCTATGCATGGGATGCAATTCAAAGTTATAAGAGGGTCAAGAAAGTGAACAATCTTTCTTCCTCTATTCCTAGTCACCCAATTCCCTAACCGAGAGCTACCAAAATTTCTAGTTTCTTGTGTATCCTTCTAGACTATTCTGTGCCTGAAAACAACAACAACAACAACACACACACACACACACACACACACACACACACATGCATATTTCTCTTCTATTCATTTAAATGGTAGTATACATAGGATTCTACAACTTGCTTTCTTTTTTTTACATACTAGTGTGCCATAGTGCTATTTCCATACCTATAGATAAAGCTGCCCCATTTTTTTAACAGCTCTGTGACGTTCTGTTACATGCATGTATCATGATTTATTTAACCTATTACCTGTAGGTGAACATCTCAGTTGTTTCCAGTATTTAGCTGTCATCAACAATGAATAAGAGGATTTCTTTTCCCCCTAAAGAACGCCACACTTGTGTATTCAACAGTCTACTCAATGTTTCCTCTTGGATGCCACACAGATGTTTCAAACTCAACACACTAAAGTTAATCTCCTGAATTTCACCACTGTGGTCATGGACGCTGAGTCACGGCATCCAAAGACATCCAGGCCCTAATTCCTGAAACCAGTGAATTTCACCGTATCTCACAGAAGACTTTGCAGATGTGATGAAGTTAAGGATCTTGAGATTGGAGTTAATCCTGGATTATCTATGTGGACCCTAAGTGTCCTTATAGGAGGGAGGCAAAGGGAGACTGATGCAGAAAGAGGAGAAGATGGTGAGGTGATAATGGAAACAGCAACTGCAGTGATGCCCGTTGAAGGTCGAGAAAAGGCAAGGAGACAGATTCCCCCCTCAGGAGAGTCTCCTGGAGGAACCAGCCCCACTCACACCGTGACCTTAGCTTGGTGCATCTCGTTCCCACTTCTGATTCCCAGAACCATAAGAGAATAAATGTGTGCTGTTCTAAGTCACTAAGTTACTACAGTAGCAATAGGAAATAACACACCCCTATACTAGCTCTACCCATAGTCTTCCTATCTTAGCTGATGGTAATGCCCACCCTTCCAAAAACCCCCACATGCCCATTCCACACATCTTGAGCCGTCCTGGACGCCTCTTCTCTCCCCGCTCAGAAAACCCTGTCGTTGACTCTGCCTAGCGGGTCTGAGCCGCTGTTGTCTGGCGTCAGGATTATGGCAGTTGACGTTAGTAAGTCTTCCTGCTTCCACTTTGGCCCATCCCCCCATGGCCTCTTGGAAACCCAGCTACTAGGGTTAGCTTTTTATTTTTTATGAGGGACATTTTCAAACACGAAGTACAGAGAACAGTCCTTTAGAAGTTCAGCCGTGTCACTCAGGTGCTCATAGCCCTGCAGTCGCTCCCTTGTCACTCAGGGTAAGAGCCAAACAGCCTGCCCCTTTCACTTCTCTGATTTCTCCCTTTCCCGTCAGTGAGCCTCAGCCGCAGTGGCCTCCTGTAACATGCCAGGCACATTCCCACCTCACGGACTTCGCCCTCTCTGTTCCCTCTGCCTGGAATCCCTTCCCTAAGTCATCCATGTGGCTACCTCTCTCACTACTGTAAATATTTGATTATCTCACCTCCACAAGGTTACCTTGGCTTCAGTATTTAAAGTTACAGCCTGCATTATACACTCTAACTGCAAAACCCCTCATATTGTTCTATTTTTTTATAATGTTCTGTTATCTGACTTATTAGTTTATTAAATTTATTTTTTATTGCCTGTCTTCCACCTGTTAGACTATAAGCTCCAGTAGAGCAGGGACTTGCACCTGTTTTGTTCACTGGTGGATGTGTCCCAAGAACCTATCGGGTTGTCGGAAAAGTCATGACGTATTTTTTCTGTTTTTTGTTGCAAAAATGCGTCATGACTTTCCCGACAACCCAATAGAACAGAACCTGCAACTGGTCAGCATTTAGGAATGAATGACAGAATGAACAAACAATTGGTTTCTACATGGGGAGGCATAGATTTGAAACAAAGAATGTTCAAAGGTGCTGGGAATGACACGTGACGTACAAGTGTTGAAGTGTCCAATGGCAGCATATGCATAAGCCCCAGGTGGTGATTGCAAGAAACAGAAACCAACTGTGGCTCAGGTGGGCAAACGCGGAATAAGGTTGTTGGGAGGATTTAACAGGATAGCTGTTCCTTTGTGTTACAGTGTAACTTAAGTCTTTATCTCCTTAAGCAGACTCTAAACCTCATACAGATGCAAATCATGTAAAATTCCTTCTTGCAAAACCCATTGCACAGTACACTGCTATTCCTGAAATAGGAAAGGGGTGCCCCTCTGGCACCAGTGCCTCAGTTTACCTCTCCTGCTGCAGGATGTGTAAGGTGAATGAGGGTGGCTTTCCTCACCTGTCCTCAGGTCTTTCTGAGCGCGTTGAATGTCAGGCTTCCAGCCATCACTTGAGTCTTCGTCTCGTTTTATTCCAACCACGTGAATGATTGGCAGTTTGAATCCCAGTGATGCTGAGGTTCAGAGGACGTGGACCCAGATGTACCAAACAAAGGCAAACAAAACTGCGTTTCTGTTTGGGCATGATAATGGGCATAAATGATAGACATAGTCCTGAGGAGATAAACTCACAATTGCTAACAGTGGCTTCTTCTAAGGAAGGGAATGAAAACTGGAAAAAGTTGAAGGGAAACTCTCATTATTACTGTGTTTAGTTTGGTATAATATGTTTTCTTAAAAAAATAAAAATAAATGTATCCTTGTATAAGTTAGTTAATTATTTAAAAATCAATTTTGAATGAATCAAGCTTGGGACATTAACTGAATCAGACATGCAATTGTAGAAAATGTCCAGCAGGTGGAGCCCTAGTATAAATTTGTGGGCCTCCGAAGGGTACTTTAGCAAGAAAGGGGTGACTAGCACTCCGATGGAATCAGAAACTTTAAGAACCCCGCCACTAGTGGAGAGCCAAAGGATAAATTTCCAAGCCAACATCAGATTGTTTCATAATTTTAAAAAATTTGTCTTTTAATTCATTTAAAAGAATTCAGTAATTTCTGTTGTTAAAAATCCAGTGGTCAGACATTATTTATTATGACCGCAGTCCATATTTTGGCCAGGTCCTTTCTCTGTGTCTTTATGTCAGGACAGGTTTTTCTTCACTAGTTAAACTCTGATGATGTAATACCCATCAGCAGGGGACTTGGCTAACTTTATTGTACATGCATACAGTAAGAATTCATCCACGAGGAAGAATGAATTACAACTCTGTATATACAGAATAGAAGCATGTCCAAAATATGGTGTCAGGTGAAAAAAGCAAGTTGCAGATTTCATTTGTGCTTAGATAAAAAGATATGCGAGAGAGAGAGAGAGAGAGAGAGAGAGAGAGAGAGAGAGAGAGAGAGAGAGAAAGAGAGAGAGAGAGGGAGTGTGTAGCACGTTCCTGGAAGGACAGCTCAAATTATCTTGGATGGTTCTCTATGGAAAGTGGAATAGGAAGATTCAGGGACTTCTGCTAACTTCCTGTACCACATTTAAACTTTCCTACAAATTTTCTACAAATAGCATGCACGTATCTTTTCAAAAGCAGGTATTGTACACCAATACTGACATTTTCTCTATTTCCTTTTTAATTTGCAGGGCAGCAGCATCTATTCAAAAAGAAGTCCCATCACTTTACGCAGAGCAGAGTGCCGGCCTTGTCATTCCTCTCTTAGTGGCTTTGGCTTCAGGTGCTCAAATGTAGCTACAAACTCAGCTGTGCTGCCCTAACCGCCCTCAGCCCTGAAACTCGCTCATGCACAGTCATCCTTCTTGTCCTCTGGGTCCCACGTGGTTCCATTGTCGAAAGAGGCCCCCTGCTGGAACAACAATGTCCTGAAATGAGCTTTTAACGAGGCGTATGCTCAGGATTTCAGGAACGAGAGATTAATCTTGTCCTTTTTAACAGGCTAAAACTGCTGCATTAGAATTAAAGCAAGTTATTATTTTCTTATTTTCATGATGGTACAAAGCATTGAGACCTAAACTGTTGTATAATCAAATATTTTCAGAAAATTCTAATAGAACTGCATTTTTTATTTCCTTCTGTATTTTCCTGTATCCCCAGCAGGGCACACCATATTTTTGTTGATAGCTAAGATATAAGTACACTATATAAATGTGTACATATATGTTTGGTAGGCAAAGATTTATATTAAAGATGGTCATTTAAAATGATTATATCAGGGTAATACTCAAACTGTCTGATACTATGGAACTGTTTATACATGGTTTGGTATATACGTAGGATGTAATATCATTCAAATAGTAAAAATCATGTTTACCAATGTGAATACCCTTCTCCTGGTGACTAGATGAACTAATAGCGGTGCTTCTAGACAGTGGAGTACTATACAGCAATAAAAAGTAGCCAGCTATTGATATATACAGCAACATGGATGAAACACAAACTCGTTGTGCCAAGTGAAAGAAGCCAATCAAAAGGTTACATACTGTATGATTCTAATTACGTGACATTCTGGAAATGGCAAAATTATAAGAATGGAGAACAGATTTGTGGTTGCTAGGGGTTAGGACTAGGGAGAGTAGCTAATTAAAAAGGAGCAGTGGGGGAATTTTGGAGGAGTGACAAAACTATTCTTTATCTAGATTGTGGTGGTGGTAACATGAATCTAAGTATTTGTCAACTCTCATGCATGTCAAAAAGAGTAAATTTCCCTGTATGTACATGAAATGTTTTCAGAGAACATTTAATCACAGAAAAATGTCCAACAATAACTGCAAGAGGTAGGATATAAAACTGTTTATGACATGATCCAATTTTCTAAATATAATATAAATTTAACAGAGATATATATATATATATATATATATATATATATATATATATATATATATTGTGTGTGTGTGTGTGCACGCACGCGTGTGTGCGCATATGATATACACATTGTAAATCAATGGAAGAAAAGGTAATGCACGAAAAGGTAGAGCAATGATCTCTGCAGAGTGGCCTTATCACTGACTTCTATTTTGACTTCTGACTTTTTGTAATTCCCAAATTTCCTCCAAAGAGTATGCATTACTTTTACAGTCAAAAAAAGAAAAATACAGACTCACATACACACATACACATAACATGTGTGTGTGGTAATTTGACCCAACACAAAACATTTCCAGAAGAGAAAAAACCAAAAATGTCACAGACACTTCCCTGTTCGCTTTACTCTTTTTCTTACTTAAAGCAAGTGTGGGTCATTCAGACCTGAGGACTCTGAGACTCTGATCCCTCAGGGGCCAGCAAGTGAGCTATGGGGTGCTTTAATGTCCCATGGGGCCCTGTAAATCTCTGTAGGGAAATGAGATTTTCCCATCAGCAGCAGACTTGTTCCTCAAATGTGCAGATCTGAACACACAGTTCTTTCTTCCTGACCCCCGGCCGGGGTCCTGCTGGTGGTTCCTTCACTTGATTTGTGTGGACATCTGACCAAATATTCACTATAAAGCTAAGAAGCTGCACAGCTTGATAATCACCGTGGATGACATTTAGTTGACCTCGTGGTCATCTAGACACATTTAGAGATCATCCCAGACACTGCCCTGGGCAGGACTCAGGCTCTGTCACTGAGAATGATGCAAAGGCTTCCTAACTAGTTCTTTGCCTTCTGTCTCTTCCTCTCTGGGTCCCTCCTCATCTCCCATCATTGCCCCTCTTTTGTGGGGTCCACATGTTCGTTGGACCCACCCCATGGTGCATATTCTGGGGTTCTCTGCTTTGGAGAGAGGCTGGCTTCCTTGACCATCATCATCAGTCACTTTTATCATCATCGCCATCGTCACCATTGTCATGACCATAACTAGTATTTATTGATTTCTTACCATGAACCAGGCAGTGTTACAAATGTTTAATAAATGATTTAATCATTCATACAGTTTTCACTATCTTCATTTTACAGATGAGAAAATGGAGGCTTGATGAAGTTAAGTCACTTTTTCAAGGTCGCACAGCCAGTAAATGGAGGGGAGGTTTTACAACCAGGTGGACTGATTCCAGAGTTGGGGTGCTTTGGCCTCTGTGGCACTAAATAAGGCTACGCAAATGTTAAGAACCTCTGGATTCTGTCCCCAAACCACCTGCACTTACTCCCTCCTCCCTCTTTCCATTTTCTCAATCTTCTTAGATTTCCAACTTGGCTATCCACGTACCGTTTATGTTTTTGCTTCTCCCTTGCACTCTGACACAAGAAATAGTCTCTCTTGTCCCCAAGCTGGGCTTTCCTCTTGTCTGCACTTGCATCCCTCCTTCTTGCCTCAGCACATTTGAGGACACCTGACAGGGTAACATGCTTCTGTCTCATCTTCCAAGGGCTGACACTGTCATACCCTTACTCAACCCACCTGACCACTGTGGGTGGTAATTAAACTTACAGCGACATGGGAGACTAGAATCCTTCCAGGTGTTCAGATGAGTATGAGGTATAGCCAGTTCCAAGTTTCCTCTTTTGGTAACCGAGGCCCCATAGAACTTTGGAGAAACCTAGTACCAATGGTTGAATCTTGTGATGTTCTTTTTATAGAAATGTTGGACATGTGTATCTTTTGGCAGACAATATCACATTCTGGATAGCTTACCTTCACTTCAAAGGATACATTTGACCAAGGTTTATATAAGAAGGGAAAGAAAAGAAAAAAAAAGAAAAAGAAAGAAGGAAATGACAGACAGAAAGAAAAAGAAAGAAAAGCAAGGGAAGAGAAGAACGAGGAAGAAAGAAAGAAAGACCTCTGTAATGTTTCACAGTCCTGTCCCAGTTCACTCACCATAGCAACACATACGCCATGAGAAACAGCAAAAAGTAGGGCATTACAAGGATAGGCAGGATAAACAAGATTGCCAAAGCAACTTTTGTTCTCAGTTCAGCCTTGGAATTTCATCGTTTCTTCTTTGTGTAGGTAACAGATGATAGGAGCTCCAATGAGCTCTAATAGGTTTCCAGATGGATCTAGACCTTACCAGATATTATCGAGGATATCACTTGAATTCTCATCTCTTCCCCACCATGTGTAGCAAGAGTCGATTAGACAAATGTCCAAACAGTGTAAATCCCACTGATCAAGTGGAGGAAAGAGGAAGCAGAGGCTTTACAGGCATGTGATCTGTCAGTCGCCCAGTGCCCCATGCTCAGAGGGCCCAGCTTGGTCTAATGCTTCTCTGTCTTTAAATTCTGAAGTTTTGAACAAGGGGCTCAGCATTTTCATTTTGTACTGGGCCTTGAAAATTATGTAGCTGGTCCTGAGTGGAAGTAAAGCATTCCAGGACAAAGGGGGTTTTATTTTGTCTTAGGTGGCCCTGTTGAAGAAACGGAACGCTGGGGGGTTCTACTGTGCCCAATCTTAGAAAACAATGCAGATGTAACTACAGACCTAGTGCTTCATGGGAGCTAAAAACACCCCTGTTTGCTCCTCTTGGGCACATTTCATATTGCCTGGGGAATTTCTTACTTTCTAAGTTCCACCTCCCTAAGAAAGAAGCTAGCAGCGTGCTTTCCCAGTTTTCTGTGAAGCTAGGATGCAGGCGTGATCGAAGTTTGACCAGTCAGGTGCGCATGCGTGAGACTGCTCGTCCTTGGAGAGAGATGAAGATGGAGATGTGGCCAGGTTTGCCTGGCCAGAGGGGAAAAAGCAGCAGTGGCAGGGTCCTTGTGATGTCATGGGTGGTGCCGGCTGAGATGACTGTGCCCAGAGGTGGGCTCAAGGTCTCTGCTGAGCGGTCGGACATTGTAATTTGGGCATGGTCTCAGGTTGCACAATCTTGAAGCGTCATTCCCTGACTCTCCTGGAGACTCTGAGAATCTTCTGCTTAAGCGGGCTGCAGTGGATTCCACTGTTTGCAACTAAGAGTCCTGACTGATAAACTTTCAATTCTGATTGAAGCCCTCCCCAGCCATAGACAAAGGGAAAAGATGATTTGGTTCAGCCATGTGTCTACATTTTGGCAGCTTATGGGGTTTTGCATTGATGAAGGGGGCCATCCCCATGTGAAAAGGCAGCTTTTGCTAGTGTGGACAGAGCTGGATGAACTGGCAGTCTCTAGGCTTGGCAACCTCCAAGGGGCCATGCCCCCTTGCTATGCACATTTTTTCTAACCTGCAGTGCTGGGTGTAAATCACAACCTTTTATAGAAATCCCACCAGTCCCCTTGCTTCTCCCCCAAAAGGGCATGATCTTAGTCTATTTGAGCAGCTGTAGCAAAATAGCGCAGACTGGGTAACTTATAGAAAGCAGAAATCTATTTCTCACAGTTCTGGAGGTTGGGAAGTTTAAGATCAAGACACCTGCATGGTTCAGTTCTAGTGAGGGTTTTCTTCCTGGTTCATAAACCAGCACCTTCTTGCTGTGCCCTCACCTGGTGGAAGGAGCTAGGGATCTCTCTGCACTTCCTTTTATGAGGCAGGAGGGCTCCATTCACAAGGGCTTTGCCTTCATGGCTTAAGCGCCTCCCAAAGGCCTTACCTATCATTACCATTACATCAGGCATTAAGATTTCAAGGTGTGAATTTTGCAGGGGATGCAAACATTCAGACCACTGATGCCCAAACTAGCTCAGAACTCATCAATTCTCTACTCCATCCCTTCATCTTATGGGATTCAACCAAACTCTATCCACAAAACCTTCTGGCTCTCCTTAGGCACTTAGAGTGTTTTAACCTGCTCCACCTCTTATGTCTTTGCCCGTTATCTCATCTCCAGCCCGTCACTGAAATCTCAGCTCAAGGATCTCTTCCTCCACGAAGCTTTCCCTGACCACCACTCCCAGTCTACGTCAGGTTTGAAGTTCTTTTCCTTATTTTAGTTTGTAATTATACATTTCTTAATGTGAATATTGATTAATATCTATATCTACCCACTAAAAACAAGGCCAGGGACCAGACATGATATTAAAAATACTTAAACATCATTGTGGCCTGACCAATCACAGCAGACACCCAATGGCCTCATTGGGAAAGCCAGTAGCCTTGGCAACTGGCCAGACATGTGATGGGTACCAACAGCAGCAGTAGCACAGGTGGAACTAACCCTGCTCACCGGTGTATCTTCAGCCCCGGGCCCAGTGCTTGGCACATAAAAGATGCTCAATAAATATTCAGTGAATAAATGATTGTTCTCTGTTGTTGACTTTTCGTTAGATCCTAGACTTGCTCCACAACTTTCTTGGACCTAATGTGTTATACCTTCTGAGACCTCCTAGCATGCTCTTACCCAGGATATGGGTGCCAGTTAGCATTGCCTCCCGAAGCTAATTGTGTGCCTCTAGCTTCCATGCCCTTCAGACATCAGG